TAAGATTAATTGTGACCACTTTGTATCAAAAGTAAACGATTTAATTATATATTTTTTCATAAAAAATTTTCATCTGCACGTCCCACAAACAGTGTCATCAGAACTGGACTTATATAAATCATAATTGGATCTAAAATGGTCGAGGGTCCCATCTTATTAATATTGATAAAATTGATCAATCGGATCAGTTTGATAAGATTTAAAACCAAAGAAAGTATACAAAGAGACTATTTATTTTTAGTATAAGAAGATAATAATCATTCTTGTCCGTCAGATTCCAAATCAAATGATTGTATGAGTGTCATTGACTACACTTGAAATTCAAATTTTTTTTTTTTCAAACTTTATGACACCTCAAGTCGTCCAATGTAACATATAATGGCCACAAGTGATTGTGAGTTTTTTGTAATAAAGATAAATTGTCTCATAGTATATAATCTTTTAAAAAATAAAAAATAATATAAAAATATAAAATATATTACAAAGAAATATTTCCAACTTTATTGCACAAGGCCAATGGGTTTGGCTAGTAACAATTGGTCAGACATTTATTTTGGTTGATTTTTTACCGGATTTAGTTTTCGCCACCGTGGACTATTTCCCGCATTGATCAATATTTGTTTTGGTTATATTTTATCTAACTATTTTTTTTTTTTTGCTTTGGATTAGATCCGCGAAAACTCCCATCAGCAATTGTTTTGGTTATATTTTATCTAACTATTTTTTTTTTTTTTGCTTTTGATTAGATCCGCGAAAACTCCCATCAGCAAGACAATTTGAGCAATTACACCGGTAAGTAGACGGCATCTCGCTCTCTTCTCTCTCTCCAGGCTTCATAAAGAATCGAAATTTCCAGCACATTGCATCTCTCTCTCTAAGGTTTATATCGTCACAGGGGACTCCATATGCAAAGACCAAAATTTCTCAGCGGCTGAAATTGAATCACATTCACATATTATCATATATTGCTGTGAAAGAGTACCGATTTCTAGAAGAAATATGAGAGGAGCCATTGGTTATAAACAGGCTCCATAAACACTAGAATATCGTTTAGTTTCAAGTAATAAGACCACATTCCTTCATAAACCATTGAATTCGTTAATAACAAATTGTCCAAGGAAAAATTAATCACAATTTCCATCTCAATTAAGTATTAAAAAAGCGAAAAATGCAACCTTATAATATAGAACTACGGATGCACCTCAAAAATCCATCGGAAAAGGTAGTTTTAATATTAAAAAACCCTTTGATTGATCATCTCGACATCGAGATGTATGACCATGAAAAATAAAAAGATTTTAAGTCTCAAAAATAGTACATTTTACAATATATTATCTACATTGT